GGTACTTCCTGGGTATCTATCACCTCCAATCGCAATTCCCTGATAGACACCATCCGAATTTTGCGCGATAATATTATTCAGCTCATTTGACATGCCACCAGAACGTGATACATATGCAACACTGAACAAACAGATAACGTAAACAGGGGTAAATACAGGTAAAAGCAGTAGCTCAAAGATCAAGTACCAGCATGAAAAATGCCTTACCTTCCTGGCCTGTACAATTTTAGTGATAAGATATTGTCCATCATACCACCAGTGTTGCCAATTTTGAAGCAACCAGGCTTGATGCCACCAACTGTAGCGGGGCCAATTATAATAACACCGCGCTTATTTGCTACCTAAAAAATGAGCCAAAAATAGGCCTGGGCATTAGAAAATATCTCGAAACATCAACTGCACAAAGTTAATAAATAGTAACGCGCACCAGACTAGCCGGTCCGATCATGCGTTTTGTGCAATTCAGCCATTGAACGATTGCCTATTAATGATTTTCACTGCCTTGTACTTTAGTCCATGTAGAAATAACTCAAACATTGGAAAATAATTAAAAATTCCACGCACCGACGCATGAAAGCTGAATTCGAAACCTTGAAGGGTGAATATCTTTCCGTGATTCCCGAGTCAATAGTTTACGCGTCAAAATTTTCACGAGGCCGCGGGTGATACTCAAGAACGGGAATGCTAAATTTGAACAAGCAAGGTGGGGGGTGGGCAGGGGGTCATTACCCTAAAATTTCAGCCTCCTAGATCCGAAATAATTTACCTGTAAAAAATTTTCACGGGGCCGTACGTGTTACCCGCGGGTACGGGAGGGCTGAATTCAAATTTGCCGCGTCACCCGCTGGCGGGGAACACTATACCAAAATTTCAGCCGTCTAGCTTTTGTGGCTCTCGAGTTGAAAGTGCGGGACAAAATGTGACACACACACACACACACACACAGACAACCCCGTGACAATATTCGTTTTGTAACGCTGTTACACAGCACAAAACGCATAAAAATGGTGGCTGAGCAATGTAAAGCGATAATGTAACTGTTAAAATCAACTAGAACATTTTGAAAAAGTTGCGCGATTTTCACCTTGATCAATCGTCTGGTTTGATTTTCTGGCACCCCTTCAGCAATGATAGCAATAACTCGAATTTGTGGATATTCCAGAGCTTCTCGCACAGTCTCAAAAACAGATCGTAGCGATGCAAAACTGATTAATACCGAAGCATCTGGATGCGCATTAAACGCATCTTTCATCATTTTATATGCCGGGATTAAAATTTCCTAAAAAAAATCATGTCATATTTAACAAAAATTGATTCAAAATTTTTCAAAAAAAAAATAATAATCTGATGATAAAGAATAGAAAAAAAAAAATGGCAAAATTTTTAGAAATAAACTGCAAGATGATCAGAGAATCGACGAAAATAGCACTAAACTTATGTCCAAAATAAAACTTTTGCTTGTGATCACCGGTGAATGGATAAGTTGACGCAACCACCGAGGGCTCCTTGCGACCACAAACGAAGTCAAAATCAAGCATTCCCTGAAATTTCCACATATAAAAGCTCTCTTGGCAATACATATTTCACAATTTGTACTTAAACTTGGACTAATTATTAATTTATAATTTGATAGTCCCACTATTTATCTTGTTACTTATCTGGTTATTATGGCCAATGCTCCATCTAGCAGCGGACAAAATGACGCCGATTCTAGCAACTGCTTGCTTTTTGAAGGAATTATCAACAATTCTCTTCACAGAAGCAGGTATTTAAGATTTTAGTCGCTTCAAGATGCCCCTGGTAAATCCAGATTTACGTATACAAACTCTTTCACTACATCAACAATCAAATAAATATGATACATCTAAACTTTCCTTTAAAAAAGCGAAAAAAGAAAGTTGGTTCAAGAAGATGGAGCTAATAGGCGGTGCAGCGTGGGTTACAGCAACCATTAGAAATTGCCAGCAATATCAATACCAAATATAAAAAAGCTAATATAAAGATTTTGAACTGATAGCATGCTCACCTGAACAGCTTTGATCTGCTGGCCCCATATAACAGCTTTTGTATCATTTTCAAACAAAATTCCATTGTTCCCATTTTCATAATCATTTGTTTCCATCGATCCACTGTCATCGCCCGACAATTTTTGCACTTTTCTTCGGGGCGATGTTGTCACATTTGTCAACGGCTCAGATGGCACACTTCCTCCGGTCTGAAATTTCTCTTCCCTCGCTAACACTGATCGGATGCGATGAAGATTTCATGT